AGAGGGGGAGAGAGAGGGAGAGAGAGAGGGGGAGAGAGGGGAGAGAGGGAGAAAGAAAGACAACAGGGCAAAGAAGGGGGAGGGGGAGAGGGGCATTATCGCGAAAATTAAAATCAGGACAAATAGAATGACGCGGCGAATTCTCCAGCAGCTCAGCTGCGGGTCCTCCGACGTGGCAGCGCAAGTTCCCCGCAGTAGATCATACTCTTTTTAAGAGCGCTCATATAGGGGCGCGTGCAAGAAGGGGGGGGGGGTGGCAAAAAAAAGTTCCGTTCATTTTGCGTGAGCTGCGGCCCCCACCGCGCGTCACTCGTCCAAAGCAGCCATCACTTTGCGTTGTCAATCACCATCGATACAAATCGAAGCACATCTCGCTGGGTGGGCACGGCAGCCTCACGCGTCCCGTTCCGCCATGCTTCTAAAAGGAATCACCCGTCAATCTAGTCTGCGTTTGCTGACCAGGCGGCGCTGCCTCGCGACGCTCGAGGGGCGAGTGTAGAAAAAAAATCGCACGCCAGAGCAGGAGGTAGATGGCAGTTGGCAGGCGGAGCACTGTTGGCTCCTTATCTGTCATTCCGGCTGAAATAATGTAGCATGGAAATCGTAACAATAATTTAATTGCGAATAAAAAAATAACCAAAGATATTTTTAACAAATGCGAGCAGAGTGTAGGAGTGCGTGGTACTTCGGGAATGTCACACCTGGACGGTGAAAAAAATTATCTGAGTAGACACGGAAAAAAAATAACCAGGGTCAACTTGTCACCTGTCAGCTGCGGGGTAGCCCACATATTACCAGCGTGCAGCGATTTTTTTAAGGCATCCCAATGAAAAGTGTTTCCGAACGAGATGTATTGGCGGCGGTCTAAGGAAAATTGTCACGTCAATCTGGATCCATGCTCCGAATTCGATTATGGAAAAAAGATCCGATTGTATATGCGGCACGACCACTCGGCGGCTCCTGTATCCGGGAGTGTCTGATGCTCCATTTTCGCAACAGTGTACCTCGTTGTTATGCCGGGCGTGCGTTCATTAAGACGATTGCGTAATGAGCAACAGTCGAGGCCGAACTGCAACTGCTCTTGTCTTTTATTTCAATGTTTTACGTCCCCGCGGCGCGCCAGAGCGGAATGCATTTCTTCGCCCCATTAAATATCGCGCCCGGAGTCTTCTTCACTTTTGGCGTTCCGCAACAATCGCGTCAAAAGCGTTTTCCTCCTCGTGACGGCGTAAAGCAAAAGTTCCATCGGAAAAATGGAAAAACCGGCGATAGGGGAAAGGATCAAAGTCTGCAGAGCGGGCCGGAGCGGCGGAGCGGCCGGAGCGAGTCGTCTTTGTCGCCATGGGCCGCGCTGCGCTGCGCCGGCGGTGCGACGGCTCCCGGACGGCTCGGAGGGGGCAAATGAAAGTGACGTCACGACCGACCAGCTGCTGGTCGCGCCTTGATGTCGTTGTTGTTGTTGTTCGTTCCCACGTGGTCACCACGTGCCACGCACGTGGCGAGCGCGTGGACTTGACTTGTCACCATGAACCATATAGGTGAGCGCAGCACTCTTACCTCCGGCATTTTTAATGCGATTATTTTAGGCTCCTTTTTGTCTGTTTCAGCGCCGTCCAGTGTGATCTAGCCAACAGCTTATTCAAACCTCTCTCACATCTCCTCTTTTGATTTAATACCTCCCGCAAAACATTACACTACTTGAAATTAAAGTGCGTAACTGCTAAAGTATTTACTGTAAATTTGAATTGTGACACGTCCTCGCACGTCCTACGCCAATCTAAGAAATATAAGTCATGCGCTCTACAGCACAACGTGACCATCATATACGAGTTCTCATGCTTCCAGAGGATTATTATAGTATGCATTAAATCGATGGTAGAAAAGAAAGTATTATCAAAGTATCATGACAAGGCGCATAGAGCATTTTGTATGTACAATAATGCGGCTTGGAGATCAGGATGGGATAGTCAAAAGCCAACGAGGCAGGTGGGGCAGTGCGCGGGCATGTCGCGGATCAGTTAAGTGCGTGGACGCGTATTGAAGTTCTTCTTATGTCTGCTCATGAATATTGGGCGTCATGAACTCGGGCTTGCAGTGGGGAAGAAGGGGACCTCGAAGGTTGTAGAAAGTGTTCGCGGAGCGTATGCACACTCGTTGTCTCTCCCCCTCCCCTCCTCTCTCTCACCTGTAAAGCAGAGAGTGTGGGACGCGCGGTCAATGTCACGCGTTGTCGCAGTGTCAAAAAAGGGTTGAGAGCCCCACAAAGGTTAGTCTCTCTGTCTCTCTCTGTTCTCTCTCCCTCTCTATATGTACCTCTCTGTCTCTCTCTCCCTCTCTCTGTCGTTCTCTCTCCCTCTCTCTCTTTCTCTGCCCTCT